GGAGTTTGAGACCAGCCTGGCCAACATGGCAAAACCCCATCTCTGTCAAAAATATAAAAAATTAGCCAGGCGTGGTGGCATGCACCTGTAGTCCCAGCTACTCGGGAGGCTGAGGTGAGAGGTTCATTTGAGCCCAGGAGGTGAGAAGCTGCAGTGAGCTGAGATCATGCCACTGCACTCCAGCTTGGGTGACAGAGTGAGACCACGTCTCAAAAAAAAAAAGGGAATCTGTAATATCTGTATGTTATCTCTTTTCTTGTTGGCAAAGAGAAAATTTAACAATGGGATGCATGCAAAAGCATTGTGATATCAAGCCCTGCCCTCCTCCTTTTCTTCTTGTAAAGTTTTAAAGAAATCCTATTCATGATAGAAAATATATTGAAATAAAAAGGGTAGTTTTGTTCAATTTAAATAATTCCAAAGTCATTGGGACCAGTGCCAATGGCTTTTCCCGCTCAAACATTGTTGAAGGGAAAAAAAGCCATCTCAAGGTCTGAGAAGGGAAAATGCATAATAGGTACTAGCAAGAAGGGTGTTGTGCAGGGAATGGGTACCAACAGCAAAAGTCTCTTTTTTTTTTTTTTGAGACTGAGTTTTGCTCTTGTTGCCCAAGCTGGAGTGCAATGACACGATCTTGGCTCACCACAACCTCCACCTCCTGGGCTCAAGTGATTCCCCTGCCTCAGTCTCCCATGTAGCTGGGATTAAAGGCATGTACCACCACATCCAGCTAATATGGTATTTTTAGTAGAGACAGGGTTTTTCCATGTTGGTCAGGCTGGTCTCGAACTCCCGGCCTCAGGTGATCCGCCCACCTCAGCCTCCCAAAGTGTTGGGATTATAGGCGTGAGCCACCGCTCCCGGCTGGTAGCAAAAGCCTCTTAGGGAGCTCAAGGCAAATCAACATATTACAATGCAATGGGATTCAACATTGAGTTCCCACTCCTTTCAAGATCCATCCTTTGAGCCAGGGGAGGGGTGAGGAGTGGGGAGACATAATTGGCATTTGGGGGAAGGACCATTTCTTTGTCCTGTGCACTATAGAATGTTTACATCCTTGACTCCACTTACTAAATGCAAGTAGCACTTTGCAATCCCTGACACAAAAAGATCCCTAGAATCTCCTTGGAGACATTGCTATCCCCTTTTGACAGTTCTACAAAGCTGGGATATATTAACAGAAGAAGGTGGGGTTTCAACATAGCTACGAGAATGCACCACTGAGCAGGAACTGACCTAGTACCCATCATTCTTTCCACACATGGGCACATCAGGAAAGGAAAAGCAGTTAGCTTCATTTGCTGGCAAAGAAATGGTGACATCCAAAAAGCTATAAACAGCCTCATGATTAGAGAGGAGGCTTTATAGTTTGCATTACAGCAAATTTTAAAAGGAAATCAAAGACTGAAAGGGACTGCAGGCAGCGTTCAAAAGAACTGACATAGTAAATGACTCAGCCCGTATGTCATTGGTCTTCTGAAGGGGAAGAGTTGTTTCTCTGAAGAGGGCTGGCAGACTGCCTGACATGTGCATGAAAAATATAGGAGACAGCTAGCTTTTAGACTCTTTTGTGGACACTGGACTCTTCAAAAATTTAAAATTAAATGAAACACAGATGAAAATTTAAAATCCTGCATATCAAAGCACATTGACTATTTACTTACCAAGTATGTGCCATGTTGTTTGGAGTTTTCTGTATAAGTGGACAGTTTTGGGGATTCAACTTTCCCAGTGTTACTGCTGGGGATACCCTGCTCTCTCCCACCCATCTCATTAGCCCTTCCCAGCTTCTGTCTTCTAGCCACTACCCCCCCAGCCCCTTCCCAGAACAAGGTCATCTTCGGGGAAGAAGGGAGGAAGGGACCCCTCATCCTGCCATCATGGGACCCTATTCCCTCTCCCATCTCCAACTTTCTAACAGCAACATCATTTGTTAGGCAACTACCCGAGCTAAGACTTTTTATTTGGTTGCTTGATAGTAAAGTAAGCCACCAAAGGAAATTTTAACATCTATTGCTCCAGAGGTTTCTTTAAATTTTTTCACAATTTTGTAAAACCAAAAGCACTTTTTCATGAATTATTTGAGATTTGCTCACTTGAAGGCCACCACTCCTGATTTTTCTACAAACAATGACATTCTCTTCTAAAACACAATAAAACCATCAAAATCAAGAAATTAACATGATCCATCACTACCGTCTAATCCTCAGACCCTATTCACAGCTCTCCAGTTGCCCCAGTAATGTGCTTTACAGTGAAAAGATGCAGTTTAAACATTTTTGTGTGTGTTTGACTGTCAAGGCTGTTTTTAGCCTCCTTCCGTCTGAGACAGTAGCTCAGTCCTTCCTTGGTTTTCACAAACTTACACCTGTGAAGCGTACAGGCCAAGAACTCCCCTGCTGCTTCTATGCCATCAGGACCAGAAAGAGACCAGCATCTGCCTCCCTTCCCTTCCACCCATCCTGGAGGCTTCAGTCCAGTGACAGGGTGGTTGGGAGGAACTTAGGCAGAAGCTCTGGGCATAGCAGGGCCAAGGAAACGTTCTTCACTATTTCTTAAAAAATAATGAGGGGCCTGGGACATATTTTTGTGTTGTTGGGTTTTTTTGATGTTGTTGTTTTGTCTTGTCTTATTTTGTTTGAGATGGAGTCTTGCTCTGTTGCCAGGAGTGCAGTGGCGCGATCTCGGCTCACTGCAACCTCCGCCTCCCAGGTTCAACCGATTCTCCTGCCTCAGCCTCCCGAGTAGCTGGGACTACAGGCGTGTGCCACCACGCCCGGCTAATTTTTATATTTTTAGTAGAGACGGGGTTTCACCATGTTGGCCAGGATCGTCTCGATCTCTTGACCTCGTGATCCACCCACCTCAGCCTCCCAAAGTGCTGGGATTACAGGCAAGAGCCACTGAGTCTGGCTGGGACATAGCTTTAAGCTTTCTGGAAACTAGTGTAGTGGAAATACCGTCCTACACATTCTTTATAAAGCATGATCTCTGTTTTGGGTTCCCCTGGCCACTCTTGAGTTCTCTCTCTCCTCGAGCTTATAGGCTGGGCCTCAGGCTGCTGAAGAAAGGCCAGCGGGCAGAGGAGGAGAACTGGAACTAGCCACAGAGACATTTAGTTTCTATTTCTTCTCACCACTTGGACTTTGCTCATCAACCTGCTTCTCTATTGCCATGGTCCTTTCAGAATAAGATTGCAGGTCACCTCCTCCGAAGAGGAGCATGCACTCATTCTGCTACCCTTGCACTGCACTGTCCACTGAGTCCACACTGTCTCAGTTAATGTCACTATATCATTTCATATCTGTGTAAATCCTATATTTCACTTGTTTAATGTCTGTAATGATGTCCTTTCTTCCTACTTAGGTTCCAAGTACCTTAGATGAGGGACATGGTCTCCAACGTCCATCTGTATATCTTCAACGACTTGTACTGAGTTGCCTGAATATGAGTTTTGTATAAATATGTGTTGAATCATGAATGCTTCTCCATGTGTAGGCCTGCTTGTGACTCAAAGAACACATGTCCACATTCTTTTTTTTCACTTTTTAGTTTTGTTTCTTCTTTCTTTCTTCGTGATGGTTAGGATGTGCTGATGCTTTTGGATAATCTATTTCTCTTTATATTACCATAGATATTCCAGAAGAGAGATTATTTAGTAAAACCCTCATTTTGAAAGTTGAGAAAGTTGAAGCACAGAAATGTTGTATGACTTGTCCAAGGTGTCGTTTCCAGCTAGTAGCAGAACTAGGGCCCAAACCAAAATCCCACCTCCTTTCCTAGAGCTCCATCCACTGCACCATGCACCCTCCTTCAGCATTGGCAAGTACAGCTATATTTATTATAGCTACTGGTTGAGTTTTCTGGGGCAGGGAAATGTCAAAGCTAGTGATTTATAAAAGCTTATATCAGGGTCAGGCATGGAGGTCCAAGAGCAGGATGCCTACCTGGTCAGCTTCTGGTGAGGGCTCCTTTCCTGCCTTGCAGACAACCGCCCTCTCACTGTGTGTCACTTCCTCTCATAAGGTTACCAATCCTATCAGATTAAGATCCTACCTATATGCCTCATTTAATTTGAATTACCTCCCAAAAAGCCCTCTCTCCAAATATAGTCATGTTAGGGGTTACAGCTTCAACATGTGAATTTTGTAGGAACACAATTCAGTCCATAGCATAGTGATAGCATAAATAATTTGTAAACACCTTCAACATACTATAATATGATGTGAAAATAGTTGTTATAGTGGGAAGGGTCACCCACCAGGTTACTTAAGAGTGAATGTCTGCTCCTTGAACCCTCAAGGCTGGGCAGTGAGCCAAGGCCATAGTGCCCTGCTGAGGAGCAGGTGTCCTTGAGAACCCAGACATCCCGGAGAGAATTTGAGAACCTACCAAAGAAAACAGTCCCATCGTGCACACGCACGGATCTCTAGAGCTATCCTGCTAGCATCCAGGAGTGTCCTGTTCATAAGTCCTAATAAACTCATCTACTCATCAAGCTGGACTTGTCCAAGTTATTCTTTGGTCTTTCAGCACCTTCCCAGTTTGAGGGTGGGCATTACAATCTCAAGTTTTTCCCGTAGCAGCTGAGATCTATTGGTGACAAAGTTACGGGTTTTGCTATTAATACTGTGATTTGCTGCCTACATTCATCATGGGAGGAAATGCGTAATTTCGGGTTGTGGTTAGTGAAAATAAATAAATATATATGTATATTTTTTCCATCCAAGTTCACAGGCACCCTGAATTTCTACACAGGGAAATCAGGTTAAAAATCCATCACGCAAGGAAGATGGTCTTGTTGTGAGCCAGCAAGTGGCATAACCCCAGGATGGTGAAAATAGATTCTGAAATCAGCTGATATTTCGCATTGCCAGTTACTCAGGAGCAGCGAGCATGTTGAACTGAAAATAGACATCATCTGCTCTTGGCTTGCTTTCTGATATTTTTCATTGCTTGTTTGAGTATGTTTGAGTATTGGAATGTGTTTTGTCTTGCAGACACCAGTAACCTAAATACAGAACAAAATAACTCTTGGGCCTCTGAGAACTTCTGGCTTGACCCTGCTGTGAAAGGCCAATCAGAGAAGGAAGAAGACAATGGCCTTCGGAAATCCCTGGATAGATTCTATGAAATGTTTGGCCATCCACAGCCAGGCTCTGTGAACCCACTCTCTGCATCTGTCTCCAAGTGCCTGTCTCAGAAAATCACTCAACTAAGAGACCAGGAGAGCCAAAGGTATGTCCTCCGCAGTTTTCAAATGGCCCGGGTCATCTTCAACTGGGACGGCTGCTCTGTCTTACAGAGGCATTCCAGGGACACCCACTTCTACCCACTGGAGGAAGGAAGTACATCTTTGGATGATGAAAAGCCAAAACCAGGACTGTCGAAAGATATTATTAATTTCCTCTTGCAGCAAAATGTAATGAAAGACCCATAACTGGTGCTGGGCAATGTGCAGGGTAGTATTGGAGGTGCCGTGCCATGCCAGCAGCACTGTTGGTGGCCTCCCAGATCCCCTGGAGTCTCGTGCTAGCTCTGTGTGCCCATCCCAATTAAGTGCTTTGTGGTTAAAGGCTGGCACCTGTGACCTGGTATTAGAGCCAGTCAGCCCATATGGAGAGCCAGCAGGGTTCTGGGAGTTCTGTGTCCCTGTGGCCACCCCACCTCCCACTCTCCTTGGCCAAGGCCACCGATTGACTGGGCTACGAGTCAAAAGCCCAGCTCCCTTGCCTCAAGGAAGGACGTTCTTTGAGGCATAATTTATGCTCTAGAACTCCTTTCCTTGAGATCAGGCTAAGGCTGGGACTTTACATGAAATCACGCCCTTGGTGGGCATAATCCCTTTGCCTATCCTCCTCCCATTTATTTTCTGCTGCACCTGGGAGCCTTTCCTTAATAAACCTCTTATATCTGAATCCTCGACTCAGAGTCTACTTCTGGGAGAACTCAATCTAAGAGAACATGCTTCTGTGAGATGAAATTTTGGAAGGAGACAAAGCTCTGCACTGAATCAGGTATAAGGAATCATATCAAGTTGTAAAACTGAGACCATGTGATTGAGAATACAGGTCCTAAAATAATATAAAGATTGAAATACAGTTTAGAAAAGTATATCACATCTTGATCACACCCTTGCCTCCTCTCCAAAGCTAGAAATCCATGTTTTATGATACTACTAACCGGGTGAGGAAGGAACATTTGGACAATCTAAAATAACAGCTAAAATTCACAATTTTTTTAAGTCTCTTTGTCTCTTATCAGATTGCAAATGTGAAAGGTGAGAAGATAACAAATGTGCTCCACTATATGTAAGCACAATTATGATACGCCAGGCTGATGCCATGTGGCCGTGTCAAGTTGTGATAGAAGAAAATAAAGACTCCTTTGCCCAGGTGGGGCCCTACTTCCTCTTGTATTCTGCCTTCCTGCTGCCCGCGCCCTCTGTCACCTTGTGAATGGTTGGCCCGTCATCCCTGCCCTGTCCTCACCTCCAGCACCCTGAGCTCCATTTGCAAAGACTAGCCCAGAGCAGGACTTCGTGGCCACCTTGTTCTGTCCTCCAGCCCTGAGTCCTTCCTCACCAGGGAGCTCTTTAAATAGCCAGTGCAGGTTTTCACTGGCAGATGCTCCACTCTGTGGGTCATGTCCTGACCCCCCATTTGAGACTCAGTTGGTAGAATTACATCACCTGGCACCAGGATCTCTGAAGCTGCAATTGGAAGCCTCATGCTAATCCCTACCTCAGCAGTGCTTTAAACACATTACACTGGCAGAAAGGGTTATATTGCTTTTTGCAGGGGGAATAACAAAAGAAGCTGGCAGCCCTGACCAATTAGATTTTGAGACACTTGAGGTGAAATTTAATTGGCCTAAGATTCCAAATGCTTTCCAGAAAGCAGATTATGCAAATGGGTTGGCCTAAAAGTATACATTGAGAGTAAGTGTGCCATCTCAGGAAGGTCTCCTGGGGACTCTTGGATGGAGAGAGAAGCTTTTTAAAGGTTAGGAATGACACACTCACACTCAGGCTTCCAGTGCTGGGGAGATTAGGTATAAGAAACAGTGTTCCAGATTGAAATGTAGAGGCACCCCCTGGAAGGAGACCCACATGGTAGAAATGGGAAATGAGTAGGTCTTTGAGAGACACTGGAGGAAACAAGACTTCAGGTTTTCCTCTGACAAGCAATCATCTGCTTCTTTGTCCATGAATGTTTCCTATTCAATTGGCCCCCAAACAATCGGGAAGCCAGGGGGACTCACAAGTGAAAATCTGACAATAAATTTTAAGGTAGCTAGTTTTACTGTTTTTTAATGAGAAGCATATTAATAGATGTCCTTGAAGAATGCTATCATTTTTAGTATTAGTCACTGCAATGCTTGTACTTCGTCTCCATGGCTACCTACAGAAGGAAACTGGATTATTTTATGTTTTTAAAAGAACAAAAAATACGAGGTATTTGAATCTCCATGTTGGGAAGCAGTAGCTTCTATTTGGCAGTGAGATTTTAGTATCAAAAATTTCATAACCTAAATATGTGTGCCAAGGGTTCCCAGTGAGAGGTAAACCCTAAAAGTAGAGAATTTAGAAGTCTCAAAGCCAGAATCACCTTAGGGTAAAAAAAGAGTGTGGTGTGTGTTTACCTGCATCTGAATAAGTGTTTGTGACAGATCAGTAGGAGATATTTGATTTCTCTGCAAATTCACTGCTTAATTTGATCTCTGTGAGGTTAGGATGGCATGTTCCATTTATTTCTGTGAACCTTTAATAAAGACTAAGAAAGAGATAAGGATACTGAGGCTTTGGACTTTGACATTATTGTCTAGTTCTGTCCTACAGATAAATTCACCAACATCTTACCATCTCATGAATGTTACAACTGGCCTGTGATATCATCTGTGGTCTGTTTCAGACCTGTGGCCCTTTTCAGGTCTTTGTGAGACATCAGAACTAAGAGTGCATAAGCATCAGAACCCTAAAGAAGAGAACTGCTACCAATATCTTAAATTCGTGTGCTATTACTCATTTCATTAGTCTATTTCTTTGTATAACCTATGTAAGGATGCATGTAACAATTCTCCTTACCAGTAATCAGCACAAAATAATACAGCTATGCTTTTTTTTTTTTTAATAATTTATTTCAAAAAATAGAGATGGGATCTTGCTGTGTTGGCCAGGTTGGTCTTGAACTCTTGGCCTCAAACAATCCTCCCGCATCAGCCTCCCAAAGTGCCAGGATTACAGATGTGAGCTACTGTGCCAGGCCAGCTTTTTAAACTTTTTAAAGCTTTTAAAACTTTTTGTTGGATTATAGTAGTTACATAGAATCGTGCATATGTCATACAAGTGAACGCCTTGATGATTTTCACAAACAACCTACCTGTGTAGCCAGCATCCTGATCAAACAATAGACATTACCCACCAGCCCAGGCCCCTTTTTAAGTAGAGAACTGATGACCAGTTTGCCGTGACAGGTGTGCTGGTAGCACAAATAATTTTAGATATTACGTGAGAAAACAATGTTTATTTTAATTGCTAATCTATTCAGTTTAATATGTTAGAAAAATAGAACTACGACATCGAGCCCATGCTTTCAGATGTATTGCATAGGACAAGCCTAATACAGGTATTTGAAATTTAGAAGTGGACTGAATTAATTAAAAAATTAATAATAATGTAGGTAGCATGTATATCCAAAACTATAAAAGTGGTATACCTGAAAATGACTGAGGTTTGGAATTCAGTGATATATTAATCTTTTCTCACGCTGCTTATAAAGACATACAGAGACTGGGTAATGTATAAATGAAAGATGTTTAATTGACTCACAGTTCCACATGGCTGGGGAGGCCTCACAATCATGGCTGAAGGCAAATGAGAAGCAGAGTCATGTCTTACACGGCAGCAGGCAGGAGAGCTTGTGTAGGAACTCCCCTTTATAAAACCATCAGATCTTGCAAGACTTATTCACTGTCAGGAGAACAGCATGAGAAAGACCCACCCCCATGATTAAATTACCTCCCACCTGGTTCCTTCCATAACACATGGGATTTATGGGAGCTACAACTCAAGATGAGATTTGAGTGGATACACAGCCAAACCACATCAAGTGGGATGGGTGACCCATCATACCCCATTAATCTTCCACCATTGCTGTCCCGGATTGCTGCAAGAAACTTCCATCTGGTCAATCCTTATCTACCTTTGCCTCTCTTTACCCTGCAGCCATAATGCAAATTCTTTTAAAAAGCTAAACATGTATGAGTAGCCAAAATATTTAAAATAAGGAACTAACCTTCTCAAATGTGAAAACATTTTTAACTCTATAATAATTAAAGCAGCAAAAAAGGCATAGAAAAATCAAAAGCATACAGTCCATAAATAGATATAAACGCATATGGAAATTGAGTATATGGTGAAGGTGGCATTGCAAACCCATAAGGAAAAGGTGGAGTTTTTTAGCAACTGCTCTTAGTCACTAGCTCCCCACACTGGGGGAGGGAGACTGAAAAAAGCTGGATTTCCCACCTTATTTTTCATATTAAAATGAATATTAGATGATTAAAAACTCAAAGTAAAAAAGTAAAATCACAAAAATGCTAGAAGAAAACACAGGTGATTTCCTGCTGAAAAGTGGTGTTAAGAAAAAAAAAAACCACAGGAGATATGCATACATACTGGAGATACCTATTAATAAATACATTACAACAGGGAAGATTTTTCTAAGACTGACACAAAACCTAAAAATCATAAAGGACAAATTTGACAAAAATCACTGCCTAGCCATATGCAAGATCAAAACTAGGAAAAATACTTAGAACACGTCTAACAGAGAGAGCTTTTTCAAAAAACAAGTTGTACAAATCATTAGAAAAACAACCAAATAGAAAGACCGACAAAGGACATGAACAAGTGGTTAAGAAAATATACATATAACTGTAATCGCAGCACTTGGGAGGTGAAGGCAGGTGGATCATGAGGTCAGGAGTTTGAGATCAGCCTGGCCAATATGGTGAAACCCCATCTCTACTAAAAATACAAAAATTAGCTGGGCGTGGTGGTACACGCCTGTAATCCCAGCTACTCAGGAGGCTGAGGCAGGAGAACAGCTTGAACCCGGGAGGCAGAAGTTGCAGTGAGCCAAGATGACACCACTGTGCTCTAGCCTGGGACAGAGCAAGACTCCGTCTCAAAAAAAAAAAAAAAAAAAAAAAAAAAAAGAAAATATACATATAAAACGATCATGAGATCATATGCAACTACACTCAAACATAAAGAACTACAACTTTGAACACCATTGAGATATTCTTTGTTTTTGCGTGGTTTTTGTTTCTTGATTTTTATATTTTGTAGGGCTGTAGAAAGTCTAAAGGAATCTAGTGCTGGCCAGGGTGCAGGGAGACAAATGCTCTGATTGACTCTCATTGGGAAGATAAATTGCTATAAGCTTTTCTCAGTACAATTTGGCAACCTCTATCAAAATTGTAGAAGGATTTTTTTTTTTTTTTTTAACACACAGTTTCACTCTGTCACCCAGGCTGAAGTGCAGTGGCACAATCTTGGCTCACTGCAACCTCCGCCTCCTGGGTTCAAGCAATTCTCTTTCCTCAGCCTCTTGAGTAGCTGGGACTACAGGCGCTCACCACCACACCCAGCTACTTTTTGACTTTTCCTGACTTTGGGTGATCCACCCACCTTGGCCTCCCGAAGTGCTGGGATTACTGGTGTGAGCCACGGTACCTGTCCTAAAAGGATGTCTTTGATTCAATAATTCATCCCACTGAACTCCAAACTTCAGTTATTTTGGGGTACACCACTTTTGTAATTCTTTACCTACCTGCATATCACATGCACTATTATAAATTTTTTCATTAATTTAGTCGACTTTTAAATTGTAAATATTTATATAGGCTTGTC